AGGAGGAGGAGGAGAGGAGGAGGAGGAGGAGGAGGAAAAAGAAAAAGAAGAGAGAAGAAGGAGCAAAAAGTTCAAATTGTAGGTTCAGGCTGAAGATTTGGATCAAGTGGGGCAAGTATTTTATTACGGCAAGTCAAATTAATAAAAAGGTCAGTCGCGTCGAAAGCAGACACACAAAAAGCAGGGAAAACAAAACGCAAGACTGGGGTTAACGATGTGAGAGTAAATTATTATACATTTCACCCTTCATGTGAGTTTCGTATCTTTGCATCTGGCAGTTGTAGAAAGAACCACTGCAGAAAGACCCGCCAGGGGGGCATAAGCGTCTAGGAAATGTGTGTGTGTTTTATTTTTTTTATCGATTGTAAGATAAAGCCACAGTGTAAAGAGTTTCCGAGTTCATGCTCTTGAGGGTGAAGAATAAGAGAAAAATAGGAAGAGTAAGGGTGGTGATATTGTTTTTGTAAAGAAATTGGAGTGTGTGAATATATGAAAACATAAAAATAATGGAAGGGTAAGTGAGAGAGATGGGTTTACGTAAAGAGTGTCGCGTGTAAGAAAAAAGGGGTACGGAAATTGTAGGATAATGATGCTGACGTCAGGGTTTACGGGAAAGTGGAACTGAGATTTAACACTGAGTACGAGAAAAAAAGAATGGTCGCTTTAAGCACAAGAGGGCTATCCTGAAAAATGATGTTTGAGAAAATCGACGTTACAGTTTTTGCCCCCTGTTCAGTTTATTTTAAAGAAAAGGAAAGGTTTTTTTTCTATAACCAAACAAATATACGCACCAATGAAACCAAACTTCTCCTATAGGTAGGGCAATGCCCACGTTTGGTATAGGTCAAGATTTCTGGAAACCCCCGAAATCTGGGTTAGCCCGCTTGTCCTTACTTTTCTTTTACTTTTACTTTTCCGATCCAGCGGCCATTTGGGATCCCGCTCGTCCTTAAAAGCGACCCAATGTTGCAGGGTTTTAGGGTGTATTACGTGCGTGGGTCTTGTTGCAGCGAAGGTGGGCGCAGCCATTTAGTGCTTGGAAAAATAATTAGGACTGAAAAGTCAAACCAAAGAGGGATAGCAGCGAAGGGGAGCGACGAAAGGTGTCATCCATCCGCTAGAATAGGTCTAAAATAACAACACCAATGAAGAATAGCAAGTTGGTAGTGGAATGGAAGACCGTTTAAAGAAAAAACAAAACAAAATATAATTGCTTTTATTATGGTCTATCTTTTCCTCTGTACCCCCCCCCCCTAAAATGAGTACATGCACACACACACACACACACACACACACACACACACACACACACACACACACACACACACACACACACATACACACACACACACACACACAAATACACACAGGCACACACCACCATGCACGAGCACACACAGGCAGGCAGACACATACACACACATGCACTCACACATACACACACACACATACACTCACACATACACTCACACATACACTCACACATACACACATATACATACACACATACACCCACAAACATACACACATACACTCACACATACAATCGCACATCTTCAAACTCAACTCCTAACGAGGCAGCCATTGCTGTCGCATCAATGTATACTTTGTTTGTAGGATCGCATTTCTTCGTAAATTGCGCGGTGTACCCCGAGGGTATGGGTCATCTCACGAAAGCGTATGGAATTACGTTCACTTTCTAAAAACAGATAGAAGAAAAGCAGATAGAAGAAAAAAATTGTGGGTCACACTGGTAGACATCGCACTTTGAAGACTAGTTTTGTCATTAAGAAAAAATTGTAAGAATATGCCGCTGATACAGTATCGATGAAATCACAAGAGGGGCATAAATCCCCTAGGCGAAATTGGGCCATTAGCGGGGAAAGAGGGCAGGAGCAGACCATTAAGTCTTTGTATCCCATCTCCATTACCTTGTGCTTGAATTTTCGTTTAAAATGTTCCTTTATCTAGGGTCTTTAAAAAAACAAAACATGATGATGGTTTCATAAGGATGATGTTCTCTGGTTATTACAACTCGATGACATCATTATACGTATTCGATGGTGCATCGATGAAATTTGAGCTCGTTTGTGATAATGTAGGGCCTATATATTACAAAATGGTCTCAATATTGTTGTCATTAGATGTAAAACCAGCCCAAGTGCGCCTTAAAAAGGTTTATAACAGCCGTTACATCATATCGACTTGAGAAATAATGCAGAGTGCCGAAACGTTTATGCGAAATATACCGTATACTCAGGAGAAAGTGGATATAATAGCGAAATAAACCAATGATGGACGTGTCTTATTGAGAATCGCCTTCGTTCACTTCGTTGGGTTCGACTCTAAGATCCTCACACAGTTCAAAGATATTTTCTGGTAACGCGGTTCCAAGTTCCGTTGAAAAGAAGTTGTTGCTTGATCCCATTGTCATTCCGAGCGCCCTGGTATCATATTTAGTCTTGCACCATTTTTTTTATTTTTTTGTGTGTTGGGATGTGGTTGAGGGGAAGATAATTAATTATTTATATTAGTATAAGATCTCTTCCACATTAAATATACTGCTATGAATGAGCTGTTTCCCGGCAGTGTTTTTGACGCGGTTAGCTCAGTTCTAAACATGTTGAATGAATACTCGCACACAATGCACACGCAAACGCAGACACACACACACACACACACACACACACACACACATACACACACACACACACACACACACACACACACACACACACACACACATACACACACA